GGCTTTCGGACATGAATTGTGCTGGTGGAGTACTCCTCTTGTCCCCAGTGACCGGTTCATGTTTTTTTGTTCAGGGTCCTTGGCAGACACTGGGTAGTCTGTGTCTCCCTCGTTGCACTTCTTGGCTGCGCGATTTACGATACAGCTGCATTAATGATCCTGGAACAATCCAAACACCCAAGACAATTGAGATGTGAAATCAAAGGAAACATATTCAAGCTCCATCCATCTGTGGTTTCCGAACATTGATCCATGCGCTCATCTCTCCTATTCCTTCGTTTGTCCCTCTATTGATCTAAAGCATCCTCTCGGTCTACCTCTCTCCATTGCATATTTGGGATGCTTGACTGAAACTAAACGCCACCTTGGTCAATACTCATGCTAGCAGGCAATGGTCATCAAAAGCGTGAAACGGTTGACCATTGAACACCCCTTGCATGGTCCTCGGACACAACCTTGGTTTTTTCTTTTCTGAAGATGCCAGCCCGAGGTATGAAAAGCCAACATCCTTGCATCCATGCCCACGCATTATTCTTGGCAAAAGTCTTGACAAACGCCTTGCAAGACGGTGGAGATAGAGCTTTCAACGCCCTTGGAAACAAGGTTCGTTTCTCTCGACTGTGTCAGGCATTGAACGCAGAGTGCGGAGTCTGTTGTGAATGCTTCCTGTCCGGCCAATCCTCCGTGTCTATTGTTGCCTTACTGGATACTTTTGATCCTAACTGCTCCAAGTTGTTTACGCCTGGCCTCAACCGAAAGACATCAAGCTCGCCAGTTGGCCATCAGCTATCCCATGGAGAACGGGGAGATCGAGTCTTTTGAATCTTGGAGAATGGGTGGGGGTGGTGGAGTCGCATCAAGATGGAGTGTTGGAAGAGCCTTTCTTTAGCTTTCTGTATGTCTCCCACTTGTTGTGACAGATGGTTTTTGCCGCCCATCATGGATCCGGGACGGATCTGCAAGAGTTAAACACAGGCACCCTTGCGGCACGTTGCAACCAACCAGAATCAGTTGATTTTGACAGCCAGACATGAGGTTTGGCATGTCCAAGCTTCTCAGAGACACAAGAATCTTGAAAGACCCAAGGGACCAAAAACTGCCTCAAAGGGACCCAAGGAACCCAAGGGACCCAAGAGACCCAAGGGATCCAACCGAAACCATCACCGAAACCATCATGCTTTGGCACGAGCGCACGAGCGTGCAACTTCAGAACCATGAAGTTGCACATGTCCTCTCCGGGCCCCCTCTACCCCACAGGGTGGTTAATGGATACCCCTGGATACCTCTGAGCTATAGCAGACACCCCTGGAGACCGGCCCTGGTACACGTAAAACCACGTGATGTTGCACGGATCCAGCAGACTGGCCGCGAGTCATCCGCCCAGATCGGAGGAAGGGGCACGCGAGGGAGCAGGCCTCGCTATCTCAAACCGTGACTATCAATAAGATGCACATATCTTTTCAACATCACTTCCAGGGGTCACAAGATGTTTAGTCCCATCCAGTGAGTGGGTAATTGGGCACCCCGACTTCCTCCATGGATCGCACCCATTTGAAACTCCCGGTTTTATATGGTTTTATGTGTGTTTGTTTTCATTTCCATTCTTTTCCATGCGGGGTCAGGTGCCCGACCCGCACCTTCTCCATGTGCTGCGCCGTGCTCCGCCCCAGCACCGGTTTGACAAAAAGCATTGACTCCGCACGCGACTTCTCGGTGGGAAGACATGGATCGACCCGAGTTCGGGCCGCAGGTTTTCGGGGCGAGGCCGCGGGCCGCGGGTTTTCAGGAAGACATGGAGCGGATGTGGACCTACATCTTTGAGGAGAAACTGAAGGCGTTCCCGTCTTGCGATTGAGAAAGGGCGCGATGTTTGGGGAGAGGTCCATGTTGGGGTGAAGACAACTTTTCGGATGAATGTTGGGATGTCCGCCAAAAAGAAAGGTGGTTGAAGACTGCCAAACGGGCCAAACTATAGGTGTTTCTCCTGAAAAATGCTCCATCCATGCTCCACCCATCAGGTTTGCTCCATCCAGCTGATTGGGCAATTTTTGGGCCCTGAATCTTCCAGATTCAACGGGTTTGTTTAACAGGTTGACGGTCCAGTTGGAGTTTAACTGACTATAGACCTCCAAATGAGATAGAAAAGTACATCTGCACTAAGAATGTCTTGGACACCGTGCCAGTGTCATTTTCTATCTATTTGGGCACCACTGCCTGCTTCGTGTGGAGGTCTGCTTTGGTGTGGATGGTGTCGAGTGTGGGAGAGTGCCAGCTGTTCCACTGTGTTCCGTTCGTGATTAGAAGGACGGCTCTTCAGCGGTGGGAGAAGTTCGGCCAAGAAAGGACACAGATCTACCAGGTCTTCACCCAGGTCTTCACCCTGTAGATCCCGGTCGTAGGTGGTATATAGATAGATGTTGGTCATGTTTGCATGTCTATCTCACCTCTTTTCGTCGACCATCTTCTTGGGTGAATCGATTTGGGGTCCTTGGATGCCGACGGGTGACCGTCAAAGAAGGCGTGCTCAAACGTGTCGCCAAAAAGCGCTTCAATCGGAATCTTGACATCGAGCAATCCTTGAAGATTTCGCGTGTGTTTTTCCTTCCCAGAACTTCCGTTTGGACGGTTTTGATCATGATTTTTATCTTCCCAGAACTGACAATAGACGGACAGTGTCTGGGAATCTGACAGGAACACATATAGACAGGTTATCACCATGGTCTTTCGATTCCATTCCGACCGACTCTGGGGACACAACACAACAACACCACGCAGCGTGCAGCTCGCGAGCTCGCGTTTCGCAGGTGGACCAAGAGCGCTTTCCTGTGCTCCTCACGGAGCCTCCCTACAACCCCACGGCCAAGCGGGAGAAGATGGTGGAGGCCGCTGGATTGATTTCCACCGCCTGTGCAATCTGTGTCGGCGCTGGATTTCTCGCCGAAACGCCCGTTGAAACACGCCTGAAGTGGCTTATAGAAGTGTGTTCTTCGCAATCGCAACACGGGAGAATCCTTTCTCTTTTTGAATCCATGTTTAAGTTCTTCGTCTGCTGAGATGACATGTCATCTGAGATGACTCTACCATCCAACTGCGCCAATCAACCGTTTATTTCAGGCACGCAGCCGGGCCTGGCGCGCGCGCCGTTCGTCACTCGGTCGAGACCCACACGGTGCTCAGGTGATGTTCGAGACCTTCGGTGTGCCTGGGCGAGAGCGGCTTATGAGCGGCGGTCACGGAGGACGGTTCCGCGGCGGTTCGCTCGGTCAGGACGCAAAAGACGGAACGCGGAGGAGCGAACGGAGAAACAAGAAAGAAGACCAGTTAAGATGAGACTTAGACCCAAGAAGTTGCATGACATCCCATATACCGGGGTCAGGCAGGGTCAGGCTCGGACTTTCCAGGTGATGGACCCCGGGGCGACCCTCCAGATTCCGATTTGAGTGACGAAGACCGGGTTTTTAAGCCTTTGGGACCGATGACAAATTATCAGACCAAGACCTGCTGTTGATTCGGACCTGATTCTCCTGTTCAGAAGGTCCAGGTTTGCATCATGACGAGGCAGTGGTGTCTGAAATTTGTTTCACAGCAGACCTGTGGACACTCCAGTTTGGAGGCCTTGTGTATAGGGTTGTCCATTGGCGACCCCGAACTGACGCAGTTGCAACAGTTTGTATCACAGCTTCAAATCAATTGGAACAGCCATTTTTCTGGTCTTAAAGCGGTCTCCGTGTCCAAGGCGGTGGCGAAGCCACCATTGAACCACGACACACCCACATGACCAAGCCAGAGTTCCGGGTGAAGACGGACCAAGTTTTGTGCTCCGCTTTCACCATCCGCGTCGGTGAAGCCCCTTTCTCGGAGCCGTTTCGGTGAAGTCGCGAAAACAGCCACATTCCTATATGGAAAGGATCTCCATTGCCATATAGGGATCCTGTCGTACCTTCTCAGGTTCAGTACGACTGGACCCTCCAAACCTACAGAGCAGTGTCTCCAATCACCTTCTCAGAGGGTATGTGGATGCCTAGGCAAAAGGAGGACCATCCTGTTTGTGCTGTCTGGGTGTCCTAGCTGGACTACAGCCACAGAGGAAATCGTATCGATTCTTGAGAATCTTCAGAATTACATTGGGATTGTAGACCTGGGGCGGTCTGGGATCTTCTGGATCATTCAGGACCGATCCAGGAACACCTAGAACTGTTTCTGGTGACTGGGGGAGCCAGGGAGCTAGCTGCTAGCTAGGGGCTTGTACAGGGACATCTTCGTGCTCCATTCGCTTCTGAGGTGCCTTCGTTGAACATCTCGATCCAGGCCGCACCCCCGAAGCCATGCCATGCCATAGGCAGCACCCTCCTGGCCCAGGTGTTTGGACCCTGACAGGTGGAAACACCTCTTGTCACCAGGAGGGTCCATTTCTATTCCACTGCACAGAAAAGCTGGGCTGCATCCGATATCATTTAAATACATTGCTCCAACAGACTCAGACTGTTTTCTTGAATGGACTGGGTGCATTCTTTCAGAACTCGAACCGGATTTCTTCCTTCTGTCCATCGGGCGATGAGGGAGATCGGGGTCACCGACCTCAACCCCAAACAAAGGAGACCAAGCAAACCGCCCGCACCTCCAGGGGACTCAAACAGTCGTCTTCCCCTCCTAGTTTGCTCTCCCGACATGGAAACAGTCTGCACTCGGATGAACACAAAACCAATGGCTACATGGATAGCATGGCCACGAAAGGAAGACTGCTTTCCTTTACAAAACAGGGACTCCACTTCCAACTGAGTTGAAATGTACGACTTCTGTCACTTTTGCCATGGTCGATAGCTTCTCTTGATGCCCTCCGAAGGTCGTTTCGGTCGGTTCAAGGGTGCAACTGATGCCCGTTGATCATCAAATCCTCACTTGCTGAGGATTTGAGGTGCTGGGAGTAGACCCTCAACATCAACTTGAGAATGTACTTGGAATCATGATCCGACTCTGCCCGTTCTGTCTATGCACCTTTCATGGCTTGCACCCGGCCACCCCGCCGTGTGTCCGCGCGCCGTGTGTCCGGGCGGGGTTTTTCTGGTGCTCCTCGTACGTCGGTCGACCGTCGCACGCAGGGCGTCTTGGCCTTGCTGGGCCAGGGACGCACCACCGGCCTCGTCTTGGACAGTGGCGAAGGCGTGACGCACTGCGTCGCTCGGCAGAGGTTCGCACTGCCCTTTCTCCGTGTGCGTGGGAGAAAGCCAGTCCTAACCGTCCTAACCAGGAAGAGTTCATTTTTGGACACCCGGACACCCCTTCATCATTTAAAATGAAGGAGCAACTCTTATCAGACACCGCTTGGCATGGCACCAGCTTGAGATCCTTTATATATACATAGGAAGTGGCGCCAGCACTGGGGAGTTCCATCCAGAACTGTCTCTGTTTGGCACTGGAAAACGTTTGGAGAACGTGCCCTGGATCGGCGTGCCCTTAGATCCCGTGCCTGTAGTGATAGGGGGACTTCTGACCAGCAGCGGGACTGGGCTTCGGTCGCGTCGTGTCGACCTGCGACGCTGATCGACCTGTAAAACATCAGGTCGTTCACCCCAGGTCAATGCAGGTTCATGCCAGGTCGACTCCGGGCCCGTGCGGTAAACACCTTGGGTTTGGGCCTGGACTCGGATTCTTAGGGTGGAAAGTGAGCAAAGTAACAGGCAAGTCGATGGTTGGAGTTGTTTCCTTTTTTTTTCACGAGGCGGTGGTGAACAAGAAAGGATGGATCAAACAGACTTCAGACGAACTCTCGCCCGAGCTGGAGGAAACAACGTCTCTTGACCCTCAAAACCAGACTTCGTCCTACGTCCTACGTCCACCTTCACTCCCGTGGGTCGCTCGATCCTTCGGTCGAGACGTGGGTCGGCCCCAAGGTCCCGATTTACGATGGCTATGGCCTCCCACACTGCATCAATCGCCCCTGGGCACGGCACGCGGTCCGGTGGGTGGAGTGAACGATTCCTTTTTGTGGATGAAGCATATTGACATAGTACTTGACATAGTACCCATCAGAATCCCAGGTTTATGATCTCATCCACCATGAACGATTCATTTCTTTTGTCGCAGATATTCCTTGAGGTCGGAGAATGGCCCTGAAGTGCCGTCTGCAGGCCGTCTATCATGATGGGACAAAGGTTTTCAGTGGGTCCACAATGCCCTGCATTTTCTAGCACTGGCTCATTCTGGGGAAGATGTTCGGTTCTATCCCACAAAAACAGGTTGACCAGGTTAACCATGCAAAATATCCTTGAACGGAAGGGGAACGGCGAATCATGGATCATCATATCAGCACCTGACTCTACAGGTCTCCTAGACTCAAAAGTGGGCGTTTTGGAGACTTAAACGTGGCAGGTGGTGACCTGGCAGGCAGATGGCCGGTGCTGGTAGATGGCCTTGGTAGTGGCCTTGGTAGGTTTATGGCCTTGATTGATACCCCTCAGAATCCGGGCCAAGACTCCGCAACACATAGGGTTTGGGAACTCCGGGTCCGGACCTTTCGCCCGTTTCGGAACTCGGTGGAGTTTCGGTGGAGAAGCCCTGCTGTGGAGGGCCTGGACTCGGATTGGTAACAATGCACCTGGCATCGACCCTCTTCCGGTCGGACATCATTGGAACATGTGCTTCTTGGGGGGGCCCTTGTTGGCCCAGTCACCCACACGGCCAAAGACGTCATTGCAAGAGGAAAGATCAACAAAACCTGACCAAACATCAACAAACAGACCGTACCTGGATCTTCCAACTATGCAACATGTTTGCCGAGCTTGGCTGGTTTGATAGATGGAAAAGGCCGTTGGAAGATCCAGGTATGAAACACCCGCAGTCAGTGGTCCATGGGAATCCTCTCCCTAGGACCCATTCGTTCAACCAATGTGAATCACCAACCTACCTGGACCTTCAAAGGGGTGTCCAATGGAGATCCCGGGATGGTAGTGTAGGGGCTTCCAGCCAGGTGACCCCTTTGAAGGTGCTGGTATGAGTTTCCTGCAACATGTTGGGTCAACGGGGGGGGTTAGCCCCGCCCGTAACATGTGGTCTGGTTTTTTCGGGTTGGGGGGGGGG